AATAGTTTAACAATTCTTTATTGTTTACATTAATTAAATACATTTTATTAATATATTTTTGATAGGCAACACTGTTGTCCTCAAAACTGCTGAACAAACTCCTTTGAGCTCTTTAAAAGTTGCGAATTATGTAAAGAAGCTGGTTTTCCTAAGGGCGTTATCAATGTTCTTTCCGGTTTTGGTACAACGGGAACAGCTATGGCTAACCACATGAATATTGATATGATCACCTTTACTGGTAAAATTTGTTATTTATTTATTTAAATCTAATCTGTTTTTAATTTGTTCATTTTTACGTGCGCTTTTAAATAGGTTCTACTGAAGTAGGAAGGTCTATTCAGAAGGCCGCAGCGGAAAGCAACTTGAAAAGGGTTTTGCTCGAATTAGGCGGAAAGTCACCAAGTATCATATTCGCTGATTCCAATCTCGATACTGCTGTCAAATTTACTCATAACGGAGGTTTTTTTAACCACGGTCAATGTTGTTGTGCTGCTGCCCGTATTTACGTTGAGGAATGCGTTTATGATAAATTTCTTAAGAAATTTAAAGCAAATGCTGAAGCTATTAAAATTGGCGATCCGTTTGAAAGTAAAACTTATCAAGGGCCTCAAATATCTAAAAAACAATTCGATAGGTATTTTTAAATTAATTTATATTGTGATTACGATCCCATCCCGTTTTATAAATATATGTATATTTATATTTAGGATTATGTCTTATATCAAGATCGGTAAGGAAGAAGGTGCCACTTTGCTTATGGGTGAAAGACTCGGTGGACAAGGTTTCTACATAAAACCAACGATTTTCACCGATGTAGTAAGTACAAAATCACATCACCGTTACAATTCTTATCCATTCCCTGACTTGATTTCAAGATTACAAATCCTATTTTTTTTTTGTTAACGAAAGTAGAATGAAAACATGACCATTATGAAGGATGAAATTTTTGGACCTGTTACTTGCATTGCTAAATTTAAAACTATCAATGAAGTAATCGAAAAAGCCAATTTGGCAAGATATGGACTGGCTGCCGCCGTATTTACTAATGAAATAACCAAAGCTATAAAACTTTCTGATGAAATTAAGGCCGGAACGATTTGGGGTTAGTTTTAAAATTTTATGAGCCAATAAGTTCGTACAGTTAATTGATTTATTATTTTTTTGATCTTTAAGTGAATCAATACATGACAGGTGATAGTAGTCTGTAAGTAAAATCTTTCATTAATTATTATTATAAAACCCGCTTTGATTATCACGTTAGGATAAAATTCGCGTTAGCATAATTTTTTTACATATTAACGCGGATTTCACCTCAACATGACGTGTTTAAAGAATTTATAGTGAGTTTTACCCTGTAATATGATTATTATTATCGTTATTGTTATTGCTAACTATATTTGCATACTTAATTTTCATATACAGTCCATTCGGAGGATACAAGCAATCTGGAATTGGTCGTGAAAAGGGCAAATATGCATTGAAGGAATACACTCAAATAAAAACCGTTCAAATTAACTTGGCAACTAATTGTAATTAGATACCGAGCATCACTTTTGAGTTGATAGCTTCACATAAATTTGTAATTTGAATAAGATTATAATTTAGCGTACGTAACACAAAACTTATCCATTATCGTTGTTATCTGATTTTTCATGTAAAACTGATGCCATATGCGAAAATTCATACCATGACATACATAATTACATATATGTCAGTGCTTTAAAAAAGCGTTTGAACTTGTTAAGATCATTAATACGATGTTAGCTTTTGATGGATGATCTCCAAATATAATTTTCTTGGCTTATTCATTACCTTAGTTTATCATTTATACACGTGCGTGCGTGCGTAAGTACACAGAGAGTCAAATAACCTCTTGTATTGCAAATAACCGTGTGCATATGTATTATCGTTATTGCTCCAAATTGGTTCTATGTTTAACATGATCTCCCCTCTATTTTT